CAAAAAAAAAAAAAAAAGGATACCAGAGCCACTAGATATCTACATGTAAGGAAAGGACAACGACAACAAAAATCAAACCATGACCCCCAATTCACACCACAAACAAAAATTAATTGAAGCTGGGTCACAAACCAGAATGTTAAAGCTAAAACTATAAAGGTTTTAGAAGAAAACAGGAGAAAGCTTCATGACCATGAAGTTGGCAAGAGTTGAACACAAAAGACAAAACACTCCAAACAGAAAGAAAAAACCAGAATTCCTCATAATTGAAAATTGCTTATCAAACGACAAGATTTGTAAAGTAAAAAAGCAACCCACAGAATGGGAAGAATACTAGCAATATATGTATCTGACAGAGACATACATTGTATCTGACAGAGACTCTATGTCCAGACTAGTTAGAGTTCTTGCAGGTCAATAATGAAAAGACAAACTATTCAATGACAAAAATGAGCAAATACTTGAACAATACAGTCGCATGTCACAAAATGATGTTTTGGTCAACAAAGGACCCTATATAAGACAGTGGCCCCCTAAGATTATAATGGAGATGAAAAACTCCATCTAGTGACATCTCGATGATCCTGCCCTTGTGTAAGCCTAGGCTAACATGTGTTTGTGTCTCAGTGTTTATATATATATACAAACACTTTTTTTTTTTTTTTGTAGGAGTCCCACTCTGTCACCCAGGCTGGAATGCAGTGGCAGGCTCACAGCCACTGCAGTCACGACCTGCTAGGCTCAGTAGATCCTTCCACTCCAGCCTTCCAAGTAGCTGGAACTACAGGCATGTGCCACCATGCCTGGCTAATTTTTCTTGATTTATTGTAGAGATAAGGTCTCACCAAGTTGTCCAGGCTGGTCTCGAACCTGTGGGTTCAAGGCAATCCTCTCACCTTGGCCTCCCAAAGTGCTGGGATTACAGGTGTGAACCACTGCGCCCGGCCATATATATTCTTAAAACCAGAAAAAAGGACCAGGAATGGTGGCTCACACCTATAATCCCAGCACATTGGGAGGCCACAATGGGAGAACTGTTTGAGACCAGCCAGGGCAATACAAAGAGATTCCATCTCTAAAAAAATTTAATAATAAAACAGAAAACAGCTTACAGAATGAGGACATAAAGAAAATATTTTTTGTGAAGCTGTATAGTCTGGTTGTGTTTTAAGCTAATGTTTTCACAAGTCAAAAAGTTTTTAAGCCAGGCTCGGTGGATCAGCCTGTAATCCCGCGCTTTGGGAGCCTGAGGTGAGTGGATTCCCTGAGCCTGCAGGTTCAAGAGCCGCCTGGGCAGCAAGACCTCATCTCTACAATAAACCAAAAAATCAGCCGGGCGTGATAGCGCATGCCTGTAATTCCAGCTACTCGGAAGGCTGAGGCGGAAGGATCGCCGGAGCCCAGCAGGTCGAGGCTGCGGTGGCCGGGAGCGGCCACTGTACTCCAGTCTGGGCGACAGAGTGAGACTCCAACTCAAAAAAATAAATAAATAAATAAAATAAAAAGTTAAACATATCTGGGCACGGTGGCTCACACCTATAATCCCAGCACTTTGGGAGGCAAGGTGAGAGGACCGCCTCAGTTCATGGGTTCAAGACCAGCCTGGGTAACTTGGTGAGACCTTATCTCTACAATTAAAAAAAAAATTAGCTGGGCTCGGTGGTTCAGCCTGTAATCCCGTGCCTTTGGAAGGCTGAGGTGAGTGGATTGCCTGAGCCCGCAGGCTCGAGACCTGCCTGGGTAGCAAGACCTCATCTCTACAATAAATCAAAAAAATCAGCCGGGCGTGGTAGCGTGCGTCTGTAATTCCAGCTACTCGGAAGGCTGAGGCAGAAGGATCGCCAGAGCCCAGCAGGTCGAGGTTGTGGTGGCCGGGAGCGGC